ACAGGGGGAAGCGACGCCCACCAACGACAGGTGGAAGCCACACCCACCGACAGGCGAGTGGGGGACTCCTCCTCCTCCTTCTCCTCCTCCATCTCTTCCTTCTCTCATCCTTCCCACTCCTCCTCCTCTTCCTCCTTCTTCTCTTTCTTTTCTCCTCCTCCCCCCCTGTTGCTTTCGCGCACCTCCTCCTCCTCTTCCACTTCCTCCTCCTCCTCCTCCTCCTTCTCCTTCCCCTCCGCCTCCTCCTCCTCCTCTTCTTCTCCTCCTCCTTCTCCTCATCCCCCCAGGTGAAAAATGGAGAGGAAGGGGACAGAGGAGGGAGGCGGTATTGAGGGATGGGTGGGTGGATGGAGGGGGGCAAGGGGGTTAGATGACGTGCTCATCGTAGCCGCCGCGATGTGTATAAGCATAACCTGCCACTACGTTATCAGGGGCTTCTCCAGAGAAGCCAGTCCATGGTTCGAGAAGATATTGCTTTGGTGCATCATATCGTACAACACGCCTCTGAGTTAGCGTCACCGAACCTCGGAACCATATGTACTCGTTACGGGTGGCAGAGGGCGCCCTCTTCGAGCCCAGCTCGGAGTATTTTGATGCGTGCCTGCAGACGCGGTCACGCCATGTACATCCAGACGGCTCTGCGCTGCACACGCACACGCATTCCCTTTGCCCTCACACCTGCCCCTGCATCATTCGTTGCCGGAAGCTATGGCCGATACCCGTTCAGCATTGGCCCGTTATGCTGGAAGCTATGGCAACGCTGAATAGGGACCGATCAGCGCGGATCGATTGCGCACCAACCGCCGCATGCTAAATGAGGGGTCGGGAAGGGGCAGCAAGGGAAAGGGCGGGGGAAGGATGGGGGAATGAGAAGGGGTGAGAGGGGGGGGGAGGGCGGGGTAGCGGAGGGGGCAGCAAGGGATAAGCTATGTGATAGGGAGAGGGAGAGGGTGAGCCGTCCAGGGAGACAGGGGTGAGTTCGGGGTGGGAGGCGACCAGCGCGAGGAGAAGCAGGAGAAGGGGTATGAGAAGGAGGATGGAGGAGGTTGGCGGATGCGGAGGAGGCGGAGAAGGACGAGGAGCAGGAGGAGGAGGAGGAGGAATAATAATAAGAAGAAGACGAGCACGAATAATGATAATAATAGTAATATTAGTCACAAGAATAATCATAAGACGAATAATAGTAGTACGAAGAAGAAGAGGAGGAGTAGGATGATGATGAGGAGGAGACATACGAATACTAATAAGAGAACGATACTGAAGAGGATTCTGAGGAGGAGAAAGATGAGGAGTGTGCTGATGATGATGTTGATGTGGATGTTGATGATGCTGATTATGATAATGATGCTAATGATGATGCTGATGTTGATGCTGATAATGATGACGACGATTATGATGATGGTGATGATGAGGATGGTGCTGATGGTGATGATGCTGATGATGCTGCTGGTGATGATGCTGATGATGATGATGCTGATGCTGATGCTGCTGCTGCTGATGATGATGATGATGCTGATCATGCTGATGATGCTGAGCATGCTGATGATGATGGTGCTCATGATGCTAATGATGATGCTGATGATGTTGGTGCTGATGCTGACGATGATGCTGATGCTGATGCTGATGCTGCTGCTGATGATGACGATCATGATGCTGATCATGCTCATGATGATGTTGATGTGGATGCTGATGCTGATGATGCTGATTATGATGATGGTGATGATGATGATGGTGATGATGATGATGATGATGATGATGATGATGATGCTGCTGACCATGCTGATGATGCTGCTGCTGATGATGATGATGATGATGATGATCATGATGATGATGATGCTGCTGCTGATGATGATGATGATGATGATGATGATGGCGATGCTGATGCTGCTGCTGCTGATGCTGCTGATGATGATGATGATGACGCTACTGATGATGAGGATGATGAGGATGGTGATGATGGTGATGATGGTGATGATGGTGATGATGCTGCTGATGAGGATCAGGAGGAGGATGACGATGAGGAGGAGGAGTAAGATGAGGAGGAGGACAGGATGAACTAATGATGAACTGCGGAGGAAATGAGGCGGAGGAGGAGGAGGAGGAGGAGGAGGAGGCGCATGAGAAGGAGGAGGCAGAGGAGGCGGGACAATAGGAGGAGGACGATAATGAGGAGGAGGAGGACGATAACGAGGAGGAGAGGAGGAGCAGGAACACGAGCAGGAGAAGGAGGATGATACAGAGGATGATGATGATGATGATGATGATGATGCTGATGATGTTGTTAATGCTGGTGCTGATGATGCTGATGATGCTGGTGATGATGATGCTGATGCTGATGCTGCTGCTGCTGATGATGATGATGCTGATGCTGATGATGATGCTGCTGCTGATGATGATGATGCTGATTCTGATGTTGATGGGGCGGATGCCGATCATGATGATGATGCTGATGATGCTGAGCATGCTGATGATGCTGATGATGATGACGATGATGATGTTGATGATGATACTAATAATGCGGATGCTGAGGATGTTGATGCTGATGCAGACGATGATGCTGATGCTGATGCTGATGCTGCTGCTGTTGATGACGATCATGATGCTGATTATGATCATGATCATGATGCTGATGCTGAGGATGCTGATTATGCTGATGCTGATGCTGATGCTGATGATGATGAGGATGATGATGATGCTGATGATGATGATGACGTTGCTGAGGATGACGATGATGATGATGCTGCTGATGATGATGATGCTGATGCTGATGATGATGTTGATGATGCTGATGATGATGGTGATGATGATGATGATGATGATGATGATGATGATGCTGATGATGATGCGGCTGCTGCTGATGATGATGATGATGATGATGATGATGATGATGATGATGATGATGATGATGATGTGATGATGATGATGATGATGATGATGATGATGAGGAGGAGGAGGAGGGAGGAGGAGGAGGAGGAGGAGGAAGAGGAAGAGGAGGAGGATAGGAGGAGGGGAGGAGGAGGAGGAGAAGGAGGTGGAGGAGGGAGGAGGAGGAGGAGGAGGAGGAGGAGGAGGAGAGAGGAGGAGGAGGGAGGAGGAGGAGGGAGGAGGAGGAGGAGGAGGCGGAGGATAGTCAGGAGGAGGGATGCGGGAGGAGGGAGGAGGAATGAGGGAAGGGGGAGGAGGGAGGAGGGAGGAGGGCTGAGGCAGGATGGAGGAGAGAAATGGGATTGAGAGAGGAGGGAGGGGCATGGATGAGGGAGGATGGATGAGAGAGGGGAGAGGGAGGAGGGAGGACGGAGGAGGGAGGAGGGAAGAGGGAGGGATGGAGGAAAGAGGAGGGAGGAGGAGGAGAAGGGAGGAGAGAAGAGGGGTGAGGGAGGAGGGACGATGAATGTCTGATGTATGGATGGATGGACGGACGGATGGATGGATTGATGGGTGGATGGATGGATGTATGGATGGATGAATGGATGGATGGATGGAGAGAGGGAGGGAAGGAGGAAGGAGGGATGAGGAGGAGGAGGAGGTGGAAGAGGAGGATGAGACTGAGGAGGCGGAGGAGGAGGAGGAAGAAGAGGAGGAGGAGGATGAGGAGAATGCGGAGGAGGAGGAGGAGGGTGAGGAGCAGGAGGATGATGATGATGAGGAGGAGGAGGAGGAGGGAGGAGGAGGAGGAGGAGGAGGAGGAGGAGGGGGAGGAGGACGATGAGGAGGAGGAGGAGGACCAGTGTAAACCCAGGAGTCATCAACGATGTTGGAATTAACCCTCCCTCCAAGCTCTCGCTTCATAGGCCCCTACAACGTTTCATTTCCATTGAGGGAACTGCCTCGTTTGAAGACAACCGTTTGAAAACCCTGAAACATGCCAAAACATGGTTATCGGGATGTCAACGCCACGGATCAACCTGACTGCTGCGTCTTGACGATCCGGAATCGTGACATAACGCCATTTCTTGGGACTTCAGCACCGCGAATCAACATAAGTTGTGCACCCGCATAATCTTGAATCCTTCCAAAACGTCATTTCTGGTACGTTCATCATGGGAATTCGTGAAACTCTTGCAATTTTTCAACGGAGGTGCGCGGCTCCAAGGCGAGAGCCACATTTTGAGAAGGAGCCGCCCTCAACCCGTGAAGCTCTTGTAATATTCTAAACGAATGTGCGCGGAGCTAAGGCGAGAGCCACATTTTAAAAAGGAACCGCCCTCAATCCGTGAAGCTCTTGCGTTTTTTTTGAACGAATGCGCGCGGCGCTAAGGCGAGAGCCACATTTTGAAAACGACCCGCCCTCAATCCATGAAGCCCTGGCAAACTTTTTAAACGAGTGTGCGCGGCGCCAAGGCGAGAGCCACATTTTGAAACCACCCGCCCTCAATCAGTGAATAAAAGGAAAATGCGCGGCGCTAAAGGGAGAGCCACATTTTGAAAACCACCCGCCCTCCATCTGTGAAACTGTTGCTACTTTTAAAGATTCAGAGTCATAAATGGTGAGGAAGTCTCAGGCGAAACGAAACGCCCGGCCCGCCCTAAAAACTGGCTTCGGGGTGCGACAGGGAGAAGTTATTGATAAGGAATAGCAATGGAGGAGGCGGAAGAGGAGGAGGAGGCGGAGGAGGCGGAGGAGGCAGAGTAGGACGAGAAGGAGGAGGAGGAGGAGCAGGAGGAGCAGCAGGAGGAGGAGGAGGAGGACGAGGAGGGGGAGGATGAGGACGAGATGCAGGAGGAGGAGGAGGCGGAGGAGAAGAAATACGACGAGGAGCAAGAAAAAGGATGAGGAGGAGGACAAGGAGGATGATGATGATGAGGAGGAGGAGGAGGAAAAGGAGGAGGATGATGAGGAGAAGGAGGAGGAGGAGGAGGAGCAGGAGGAGCAGGAGGAGGAGGAGGAGGTGGAGTTGGAAGACGGATGAGGAGGAGGGGTGATGATGAGGAGGAGGAGGCGGAGGAGGAGGAGGAGGAGGAGGAGGAGGAGGAGGCGGAGGCGCGCGCGCCCCCGCGAGGCGACCAGGTTCAGCAAGTGCCTCGGCTTCCGCTGCGTGGCCATGTACGGCGGCCAGCCCAAGGGCCAGCAGCTGAGCAAGTACCGGATGGGGGTCCGTCGGCGGCCCCGTTTCTCTCGCCATGAAGGGAGCGTGTCTCGAGGGAGGTCATCTTGAGCTCTTGGGCTGTCTTGGCGCCATCTTAGGCCCAAACAGGCATGCCAACCACCCGCGGCCCCCCGCCTCCAGGCCCAGGGGTAGGGGGTAGGGGGAGGGGTCAAGACCCCCTCCCCGCCCGCAAGCCGTCTCGCTCACTCCCACCCGCCCTCCCAACACACACGCAGCACCGGAGTCTGGCCCGAGCCTCAGCATATGCAGCAGTCGTCTTTGGATGGGCAGCTACTGGGGGCCAATGCGCCGCCGCCGCCGCCTCGCCGCCGCCGCCGCCGCCGCCCTCGCAGCCGCCACCGCCGCCGCCGCCGCCGCCGCTGCCCGCCGCCGCTGCCGCCGCCGCCGCCGCCGCTGCCAAATCGCCGCCGCCGCAGCCGCTGCCGCCGCAGTCGCTGCCGCCACCGCCACCGCCGCCGCCGCCGCCACCGCCGCCCGCCGCGCCGCCGCCGCCCGCCGCCGCCCCCGCCGCCCCGCCGCCGCCACCGCCGCCGCCGCCGCCGCAGCCGCCGCAGCCGCCGCCGCCGCCGCAGCCGCCGCAGCCGCCGCCGTCGCCGCCAAGTGTACTCTGTATTGTCTTTTGACAGGGATGGTGGGGGGAGGCCGCATCGGGTTGGCTGCGCATGCTTTGAATTTGGAGGCAGAGTGTGTGTTCGTATGTTTTTTACAAGGGATGGTGTGGGGGGCCCTCGTGGTTTTGGGTGGGCTACCAGTCGCCTGGGGGAGGGGGTGTCTATTAATATGGAACAGTGATATAAACGCCTCCCCGAGGGGGAAGAAGGGGGTACCACAGAACGGGCTCTCTATACCACCTCCGTCCAGAGGGCTGGTGGGACTCAGCATCGGCGCTGGTGTGTCCGTGGTCGAGACTCAGCCTAATTCGACAATCCTGGTTCACGGTTGATTTTGGTTCACGGTTCATGTGGCCTAATCCGGCTCAATTTTGGGCTGAGTCCAGCCTCATTGGATTCACGCCCCTTGGTCGCAGTGGGGGCGTTGGTCAAGGAATCCTAACTCTATGGAGCATTACACATTCGTTTTTTTTGATGTCTTTTTTTTTGTTTGTTTTTTGTTTTTCTGTTTTTCTTCCTGGTTGTTGTTTGACATTCGAAGTCGATGTGGAACATCACTTTTTTGGTAAGCAACAGCCAATCAAGTGGAGGCCCATGCCAAGACACACCCTGCTTGCCTCCAGGGTGCCCTGGGTTTCTTGTGTTTCCATGGGTATGGCAAGCCCGACGCTCCCACACCAAAAAATCAATGGACGTCCTGAGGTCTCAGGGTTGGGTTTCTTGTGGAACGTCTCTTGTGGCCTGGCCTCCGCTGTAACCACGTGTTTCTGATGGCAATCGCAAGTCGTACAAAACAAAACGATGCTGTTTTTTGACAACCAACGGCCACACGTCTTTTATGACAGCCTCTTGTCGTAAAACATGTGCGATGTTCCGCGCTTCCCCCCCTTTGCGCCAGTGATCGGTCAGGGCTCCGACGGCCCGCGCCCCAGCGCTCCTCGGCGCACTCCTGGCACCTCGCGCCTCCCCTCCTCGCCCCCCCCCCCCCCCCGGCCCTCTTGGGCAACGTCAGGGGGCGGCCAGGCTCAGGGGGGGGAGCGCTCTCCCTCCTCGTCCTCCTTCCTCCTCCACCTCCACCCCCTCCTCCTCCTCCTCCTCCTTTGCCTCCTCCTCCTCGTCCTCCTCCTGCTCCTCATCCCATTCTTCGTCCTCCTCCTCCTCGTCCTCCTCCGCCTCCTCCTCCTCGTCCTCCTCCTCCTCCTCCTCCTCCTGTCCTCCTCATCCCGTTGCTCGTCGTCGTCGTTCTCCTCTTCCCATTCCTCGTCCCCCTCCTCCTCCTTCTCCTCCTCCTCCTCCTCCTCCTCGTCGTCGTCCTCCTCCTCCTCCCCCTCCTCCTCCCCCTCCTCCTCCTCCTCCTTCCTCCTCCTCCTCCTCCTCCTCCTCCTCCTCCTCCTCCTCCTCCTCCTCCTCCTCCCCGTTCGGCGATGTATCGCCGATTCTAGGTCGATGTTTCCCTCCCAAGGTGAGTCCCCCCCGTGACGTTCCTCCTCGTCCCCCTTTCCGCTGCGCCGTGCTCGTACCCCCCCCCCGCGCAGGTCCACACCATCGTGGCGTGCCCCGGGCGGCTCAACGACTTCCTGGAGGGAGGGCAGATACGCCTCGACGGCGTGCTGAAGCTCGTGCTCGACGAGGCCCCTAGGGCGCCGACGAGCGGCATCCGTCCAGGCCATCCCAGATGGGGTCGGAGCAGACGGGTCGAAGGATCGCGCGGTATCGCAGATGCATCGGCGAGGCAGCTCGGTGTGTAGCCCGATTTTCTCCGAGCCGACATCGCCGATGCATCGGAGATGCGGTGCGTTCCTCCGACTTCGTTTGCTCGGAGCCCACTCGGGAGGCCCGTGTACAAGCGACGCCTGGAGTCGAAGAATGAACACCGTCGTGAACATGAGCTTTCGGAGGTCCGCCTGGATTCTTTGGATCGGCGCTGGGCCCCCCTCTCCTGCGCGCGGAGCGCGCTGGGGGCGGCGCTAGAGGTGCCGCCAGCGGATCTGGCGCCGATGCAAGACATCCGCGCGGGCTTCCGCAAGTTTATGCTTGGGCCGTGTTCTGTTGGACCGTCCGGCTGGGTACACGTGGCGGGTTGGAAAAACCGTCAATCCAAACACACTTCTCCGTCGCGGCACGGCAGAGGCAGTCCGCACGGGCGCTCGACTTGTCGGGGGCGCTTGGCAGACTAGTTGCCAGGCAGCAAGGGGGGGAGCGCGAGGAGGAGAAGCGGCCGCGGAGGACAGGAGGGCGAGCTAGGGCACTCACGGCTGAAACCGTGAATGCACTGGGGGCCCATGCCAAGAAACACCCTGCTGGCCTCCAGGGTGCCATGGAAACTTGGGTTTTGATGTTTTTGCTGTGGCAGGCGCGACGTTCACACACACGCACACACACACCAAGAATCAATGGACGTCTTGGGGTCTCAGGGTTGGGTTTCTTGTGGAAGGTCTCTTGTGGACTGGCCTCCGCCGTACAAACACACGGACACCTCTGTGGGGCGCATCCTCCGCCAGCCTTAAGTCGGGCCTGTCCCTCTAAAGGGGAATATTCAAAAATAGTTAAACATAGTATGGGGACTATTCTTTGAATATTGTTTGACCATTTTGGCGCATTTTTTAGTATTTTTGTTTTTCGTTGAAAATACCCCTGTAGGGGGACAGGCCCGACCTAACGCCAGCCTTCGCCGCGCCGCCGCCGTGGTTGCTTTTCCGTCAGCCTCCGCCGGCCACGCGCAGGAGCGGCCTTCGCCAGAGTGGAGTGACCTTTTGGTGCGTGGCCACGGGCCCCCCTCGAGGCGCCCCAGGAGGTCCCACCCCCCACGTGTGTCTACGTTGTATGTATGCACAAATGTGTACATATCTGTACTTTATATGTATGTATGTATGTATGCATGTATGTATGTATGTATGTATGTATGTATGTATGTATGTATGTATGTAAGTATGCAAGTATGTATGTATGTATGTATGTATATATGTATGTGTGTGTATGTATGTATGTATGTATGTATGTATGTATGTATGTATGTATGTATGTATGCCTGTATGTCTGTATGTATGTATTTATGTATGTATGTATGCATGTATGTATGTATGTACGTACGTACGTATGTATGCATGTATGTATGTATGCATGCATGTATGTAGGTATGTAGGTATGCATGTATGCACGTATGCATGTATGCATGTATGCATGTATGCATGTATGCATGTATGCATGTATGCATGTATGCATGTATGCATGTATGCATGTATGTATGTATGTATGTATGTATGTATGTATGTATGTATGTATGTATGTATGTATGTATGTATGTATGTATGTATGTATGTATGTATGTATTCATGTATGCATGCATGCATGCATGCATGCATGCATTCATGCATGCATGTGTGTATATATATGTGTGTATGTATTCACCAAAAAGTTCATCCATACATGCATATCCGAGGCTCGCCGTGGCCAGAAAAGCTCCTCCGCTCCTTTTTGAAAGTTCCTCATGGCAGCACGATGGTCGTACAGCTGTAGCCTCTTCTTGGAGTCCTGTCGGAGAGCTTGTCGAGGCCTGTGCGGGCCTCCTTGGAGAATCGCTTGAGGGCCTTGCACGGGCGTCTCGCGGAGCCGCACTGAGAGGGGTGAGACAGAGAGGGGGGGAGGGGGAACAAAGGCGGGATAAGAGATAATCCGATGTAGTTCTGGACGGACATTTTGCGTGCGGGGCTTCCTTCCTGGGAGACTGGTGGGATTGATGTCGGTCTTCCAAGTTTCTCAGAGCTTTCCATAGAGCCCCAGAGGAATTCCAGAGATTGCCCAGAGCGGTTCCAATGGCCTCAAAGACGGGCCCTGGAGGCTCCTCGGCCGCTCAAAAGGCGAGCATCATCGAAGACCATTTTTGCTTGTCTGTCGCCCTTTTCGGCATCCAGTCCGCTTGGGAAGAGAGTCCAAGATGGGCCCCAGACTACTGCAAGAGGGACCCTGGAGGCTGTCGCGAACCTGCGGAGGGGCTTCAAGGTAACTCCAGAGTTGGGTTTCGCTCGATTCTTTGAAAGACACCACCACCCAAAGTTCACTTAGGCATTCCCTAAACGACAATACCCCAACCGACCACTGCACTCGTGTAGGCATCTTCCAAATCATTAGCATACAGTGTGCCTGCGTACACATCTTAGGCACGCCCTGCGAGCCCACACGCCCGCCTTACGTACGCAGACCTAGTACATACATACATAATACATGCATACATTCATACATCCGTTCGTACCTACATACATACATCTGTACACACATACAGACACACATACATACATCCATACACAGAGACAGACAGACAGACAGACAGACAGACAGACAGACAGACAGACAGGCAGGCAGGCAGGCAGGCAGGCAGGCAGACATACATACATACATACACATACATACATACATACATGCATGCATGCACACATGCATACATACATACATACATACACACATATACACACATACATACATACATACATACATACATACACATACATACATACATACATACATACATACATACATACACACACATACACATACACACATACACATACACATACACATACACATACACATACACATACACATACACATACACATACACATACACGTACACGTACACATACACATACACATACACATACACATACACATACACATACACACATTCATGCACACATACATGACACACTGCATGCACACATACATACATTCACACACGCAAAACATATACACCCACACATACCTACCTACCTACCTACCGACCTACCTACCTACCTGTCTACATACATGTATACGTACAAGCACACATACATACATACATACACACATGCATGCATGCATACATACATACATACATACACAACTAGATGCATACACACACGCATTTATATATGTGTACATCTGTATATGAACATCGATGTAATGCACGCGCGCATATATTTATACATGCATGAATACATGTATGCATGTTCGTGCGCGTGCACACATGTACATCTATATGTTTGTGTCCAGACAGAGGTATACTTCAGATGCGTATGCCGAATCATTTACATATCTTGGATACTTGGCAGCAAGCCCAGGAGGCCTCCTCGGGCTTCCAGAGGCCTCCGGAGGCCCAGGGAGGGCCAACACACGCCCCCAAACCTTGAGTGTCCTCCCTCCTCGTCGTCCGTTCTCGTGTCCGCCGCTGCTGTCGCTCGTTCTCACTGGCCCCCCCGCTGCCGACGTCTGCACGGGAAGGCCGATCGCATGCTGGACATGGGCTTCGAGCCCCAGATACGCAAGATCTTGGCCAAGGTGGGGGCCGTTCCGCCGGCAGTCTTGACGTGGGCAGGGGCGAGGATCGAGGATTCAGGCGGCGGGCGACGAGAACTAGGCTTAAGTCGGGCATGTCCCTCTACAGGAGGAACATTCAAGAACAGTAGAGAAATAGTCTGGTGACGATACTGCGTGCTCTATTGTGATTATTTCTTTCGATCATGGTTTGGGATTTTTCTATTTCTATTACAAAATCCGCCTCTAGGAGGACGTGCCCGACCTAGAGCTAGGCACCTGCAGCGTTCCTGGCCTAGGAGGGCCCAGGGCTGCGTGCATCCGCCTCCCCCGGTCCTGGGCTCGCGGTGCGCCCAGGCCAGGATCGGTGCACCTCCTCCTCCTCGTCCTCCTCCTCCTCGTCCTCCTCCTCCTCCTCCTCCCTCTCCTCCTCCTCCGCCTCCTCCTCCGCCTCCTCTTCCTCCTCCTCCTCCGCCTCCTCCTCGCTCTCCTCCTCCTCCTCCTCCTCCTCCTCCTCCTCCTCCCTCCCTCCTCCTCTCCTCCTCCTCCTCCTCTTCCTCCGCCTCCTCTCCTCCTCCTCCTCCTCCTCTTCCTCCTCCTCCTCCTCCTCCTCTTCCTCCTCCCCTCACCCTTCCCCTCTTCCTCCTCCTCCTCCTCCTCCTCCTCCTCCTCCTCCTCTCTCCTCTTCGTTCTCGTTCTCCTTCTCCTCCTCCTTCTCCTCATTGTGTGCTGTGTGTAGCCTCTTCCTACCAATTCTGTCCAGCAAGACGGTCCCGATTCTGATGGCAGGAGCTCTTAGCGGTGATCCGATTCCTTCCTTCACGGCGGAAGTGGTTGCTCCAGATGAATCGGTCGAGGATGTGAGGAGACTCTCGCTTGAAATAGGCAGCCGGCCGTCCAACATGTGACCTGGGCCTCGAGCAATAAAGAGAGAAATGAGCGAGGATCGACGCGTTTTGACGCTTCTTCTCTTGCTGGGGCCTCCAGCGGCCTGGTGAGGCTTCCAGAGGCCTCCAGGGAGCTGAAAGCAATCGAACATAACATATCCTTTGTATTGGTTTCAGCCTCTTGGCGGTCTCCTTGAAGGGTCTCAGGAGCCACCTTGGAGTCATCTTGGGCCAATCTGGGTCATCTCGGGCCATCCTAGGGGTTATCTTGAGACGTCTTCAGTGGCACCTCAAGATTTCTTCAGTAATTCGGAAGTCATCGATGCGAAGAACATTAGAAAACGTCAGGCGTAGTCAAGAACTCAGGCAATCTAAGCCGTAGCGGCGGGGGGGGTAGTGGCACATTGCGAAGGGCCAGCGGAAAATTTGCGGAGAGTTGCAATACCAGTCTACAGAAGTTGATGATTCGGCGCGCCAGACCGAGTAGGTCTACATCGCTTGCGGCTCATTCTGGCCGCGCTTTGCAAACACTGATGAAGACAGATGCTCGCGCTTTGTTTCATTTCCAGTCGATCTTGAGCCTTTTGGGGCCCGCTTTGGGGCCATCCTGGTGGCCTCTTGTGTGCCGTGGGGCTTTTGCGAGTGCATCTTGGGGGTGCCTCAGACTGTCGGGGCGGCATCGGGTACCATGTTGGAGGCGTGTTGGAGCTTGTTGGGAGAATCTGGGGCCATCCGAGGGACTTCTTTGGCCCTCTCGGGGGCGTCTCTGCTCTTCTTGGGCTATGGGCCATCCTGAGGCCAACCTGGGGCCATGCGGAGACCCCCTCAGGCCCATCAGAAGCCGACAGGAGGGAGGAGCGAAAGAGCGACGTGTTTTGACTAGTTGCAGTTTTGCAGCGATTTGTGCCTGGGGGGGGGAACGGCGGCGTCTAGGAGCGCCCCCTCCTATAGAAAACATATCCCGCCCTTCCCGATGGCTCTTTTCGGTACGGCCCCAGCGCAGAGGGCGCGGCCACCAGATCTGAAGGACTGCGCCGTGTGCTGCCGCCAACGGGGGCCGTCTCGGGACCGTCTCGGGGCTTTCTTCGGTCCTCGGTGTGCCATCTTGGCCCCCCTCGGCGGCATTGTGGGGCCTCTGGGGGGCACTTCACTGGACGTCGTGGACGTCGTGGGTCGACTTCGCGGGTGTCTGCCCGCAGGGGATGCCGCGCCCTGGGCGCTACCGTAAGAGGACGTGTGAGCTTCGTATGGAAGTGGCCTGCTCCCCCCGCCGCAGGGGCGACACATGGAACAAGCGGGGTCGATCTCGGAGAGAGCGTGATCCACCGCCGCTTTACTGCGGAAAATCCCCCCCCCCCCCTCTCTGGAACCCAGGTTCCCCCCCCCCCTCCGAAAATCCCCCCCCCCCCCCCCCTGCGGCGTGACAGCGAGGCACTCGTGACCAGGGAATCTTTCATGACGTGGACCTCAATGCTGCCTAACATCTTCAGGGATTCCCTCCTGCAATGTCCCAGCGGAGAGCCGCGGGGAACACCTGGAGGCCGCCCACAGGAGCTCCACCCCCGTGTCCATCTCCTCCTCCACATCATCCTCATCCTCCTCGTCCTCATCTGTCCCATCCTGCTGATGCTCTTCGTCCTCATCCGTCCCACCCCGCCACCACCTCTTCTTCCTCCACTCCTTCTGGAATTCCGCCCGCCCTCTGAAAGTACGCGAATGTAGGTAGTGCATTGAACCGCCTCTTCCAGAGGCCCGTCCCCCCCAGACGCCCATGTCCCATGCTGGGCGGGCCGCGGGCGTGCGGGCGAACGCACGTGGAGGGCTCGCGCACGAGGGCGCGACGACCTTGCGCGGTGGCTCACGCGGGCCGCTGACGCGGCAGACCACGTGGGCAACAAGGCCCTTGCGCGTGACCATCCGCGGGCAGCTTGCGCGCGCCGGCAAATGTGCCGTGCGGTTGCGGTTGCGATCTCGGTTGCAGGTGCGCCTGCGCGCGCGGGCCCCTCCGTGTTGCGCGGTTGCAGTTGCGATGGCGCCTCCGCCCGCGGGCGCCCCAGAATGTTGACGCGGCAGACCACGTGGACCAGAGGACCCTTGCGCGTGACCACCCGCGGGCAGCTTGCGTGCGCGCCAAAGGATGTGCCTCAGGAGGGGAAACACGCACAGTCACAACAAATCGTCGATGCCCAGGAAAATATGGGAAAATATGGGAAGTGGGGGGAAGACGAACCCAGAAAGTATAAGAAAATATACGAACATATTGGGAATATGAGTATTTGTGTGTATTCATTTGTGTGTCCTTGGACCCCTTCAGTGCCGTGCGGCTGCGGTTGCGAGCTCGGTTGCGGGTGCGCTTGCGTGCGCCGGCCCAGAATGTCTCGTTTGGTTGCGCTTGCGGTTGCGGCTGCGCCTGCTGGCGTCCAAAATGTGCGGTCGCGCTTGCGGTTGCGGTTGCGCCCGCGGGCGTCCCCAAATTTGCTGTTCAGTTGCGGTTGCGGTTGCGCCCGGCTGCCCGAAGTGTGCGGTTGCGCTTGCGCTTCCCGCAGGCGGCCCAAAATGTGCTGTTCGAGCTGCCCACTCACGGTCAGTTCGGTCATGCCAGTCAGTTCAGCCAGTGCAGTCAGTCGGCGGAGGGCACCGAATTTCACCTAGCTCCGCTGGGAAAGCGTCGTATCGTATGTTCGCAAGGCCATCGGGCAGGCCGCGCGGAGGTCTGGCCCGGGACCCAACGGCTTCCGTTTCGAACGCTGGAAAGCCTTATTTGCGGACTGAGCCTCGCTGGAGGCGACCTGCCGGGTGGCCGTGGTCTTCCTCGTCGGCGCCTTCCCCTGCTAGTTCGCAGCGGCCAACTTGTGGTCCTGCTGGTGGCGCTGCGGCAGAAGAGCGGGAATCTCCGGCCGGTGGCGTGCGAGAGCGCCCTCCGCAGGCTTTCGGCGAAAGCGGCTTGCGAAGTCTTCCAAGAGGAGCTGGAGGTCGCTTGCGGCCCCCACCAGTTCGCAGTTGGCTCGCGGGCGGGTTGCCAGCGGGTCCACAAAAAGCGTCACTGCCTGGGCCGACGCATTACCAGGGGCCGCCGTGCTGGTCTTCGACGCAACCACCGCCTTCATCTCCTTGCACCAGCAGACGGTGCTGGACGCGGTAGGCCGCTGGGCGTCGAGCCTCCTCCCCGCCGCCATCGCCTGGCCGACTCGGCAGGGCGCGCGTCTTCTGGGATGACCGCGGCAACCCGTGCCCGTGTCTGCCCAGACTGGCGTCGACCAGGGATGTCCGCTCAGCCCCGCCTTCGTCGTGTGCATCGCGGACGTATTGGCCTGCGCGCGCGTGCGCCTCCAGCAACTGAGCCCTGCCTCTTGCCTTGTTTCTTACCTCGACGACGTGCTCGTGGTCGTGCCGGCCGTGTCCGCCGCTCTGGCCCACGACGTCAAGCGGGAAGAGACGGCTCGGCCGGTCCGGAGCTCAACGCGGCGAAGACCAAGGTGTGGGCCGCTGTCCCCTAGTTCGAGCACCTCCGGACTGCCACCCTTTCTGTTCGGGGATACCCGGTCACGTGGTATGGCCGCGGCGACGGTGACGACGACGCCCGGCTGCCCCTCCTGGCCAGCTCTGATAGACGGGGGGTCCTGTACAAGACACGTCATTTAATGAGCCAGCGGGGGGCGCTGCGCCAGCGCGGGCTTTCGGCGGAAGGGGCGCACGCGTTGCTCCGCACCTACGCCCAGGGCTGCTGCGCCCACCTCCTGCGCGCAAGCTGCGAGACCGCCTGTGTGGGGAGAGCTCGACGACTTGCTCTCCGGGGCTGCTTACGTTGCGCTGACCGGGCCTTCGGGCAACGAACTAAAGGATTGGCTTATCTTCCGCCTCAAGGACCGCGGTAACGGCTTCCCCTCCGCCCTGGAAGCCGCCGCCCGCGCTTACCGCGGAAGCTAGGCTTTCAGCTCTCGGGGCGCAGCTGCTTGCCTCGGAGCCACCTTGGCGGAGGCTGTCTGGGCCCGCTGCCCTCAGACTGCAGACACCTGGCGCCGCGCCGAGGCGGATGGAGCTTGACTGGCAGGAGGCGAAGCCCGAACCCTTGGACTGGACAGTTCTCTTGGCCAAACCCAGGGCCAAACAGCAGGGGCACCCTCCGTCTCCCCTGTCGCGCGCCGCCGCGCGTGCCCCTTATCCTTCCCGACGGGGCTCGATGAGACGTGGTGTGTGTGTGTGTGTGTGTGTGTGTTTGCTCCGACGCCGCCGGCGTGCTGTCTCGGCCTGGGCCACGATCGCGTCGTGACCTACTGCGTGGATCCCCCCCTCCCCAACAAGAGAGAGAGAGAGAGAGAGAGAGAGGAAAAGAAAAAGCGAGAAGGGGAGGGAGAGAGACAGGAAGGGGCAGAGGGAGGGAGAGGGAGAGGGAAAGGGAGGTAAATGGAGAGGGTAAACTAGAGGTAGAGGTAGCGGTAGAGTCAGAGGGAGGGAGGGGAGGGAGGGATGGAGGCAGGGAGGGAGGGAGGGAGGGGGAGAGAGAGAGAGAGATGAAGAGAGATGGAGAGAGACAGGAAGAGAAGAGAGAGAGGGAGAGAGAGAGAGCGATAGAGAGAGAGAGACAAAGAGAGAGAGAGAGAGAGAACAACGGAAAGAGAGAGGGAGGGCGCCTGCAGGTGCCGCGCAAGCGCCACACGTTGTTCTTCACGGCCACGTGGCCACGCGAGGCGCGTGAAGGGGGGACGGGGCAGGCGGGGAGGGGCGCGCGTGCTGGGAGGACAGGGGGGCGAGGGGGTCGAGACGGGGCGGAAGCCGTGGAGTAAGTATAAGCGGGAAAGGGGGGGGGCAGCAGCGCGGAGTGCTGAGTGCGGAATGTGGAGTGCGGAGTGCGGGGTGCGGGGTGCGGGGTGCGGAGTGCGGAGGAGGAGGAGGAGGAGGAGGAGGAGGAGGAGGAGGAGGAGGAGGGAGGAGGAGGAGGAGGGAGGAGGAATGAGTAGGAGGAGGAGGTGGAAGGGGAGGAAGAGGAGGAGGAGGAGGAGGAGGAGGAGGAGGAGGAGGAGAAGGGGGAGGGGGAGGAGGAGGATGGGGGAGGAGGAGGAGGAGGAGGAGGAGGAGGAGGAGGAGGAGGAAGGAGGAGGAGGAGGAGGAGGAGGAGGAGGAGGAAGAGGATGAGGAGGGGGATGATTAGGAGGAGGTGTAGGAGGAGGAGGAGGAGGAGGAGGAGGAGGAGGAGGAGGAGGAGGAGGAGGAGGAGGAGGAGGAGGACGCGACAAACTTGCTCTTCAGGTCCGATCAACGTCAAGAAAGGATGAGGCGGAGGAGGAGGATGAGGAGGAGGCGGAGGAGGAGTCCCCTGGCGCACGAAGCCGAAGGGAAGAACCTGGAGCAACGCCGAGGGTTGGTGAGAACCCCACGTCATCCTCTCAGAGCACAGGCATTCAGTGATGCGGTACCAGATGTCACACATGAGCAAACAGCGAAAGGAGGCACCAGGGGCCATCGAAACGACCGAAACGCGATCGTCTTCGGCGCCATCACGGCACCAGACAGAGACCCCGAGCGAGGGGGGGAACCACGGCGAGACTGGGCTCTCCAGTTGAAGGGAAGAGGGCAAGGAGCAGGGGAGGGGTGCGCACCCCAAGTCCGAAGACAAGTTGCCACACCTTCGCCAGTCCTGGGGATCGTCGCCCTTGTATATATATATATATATATATATATATATATGTACCGCGCCCATCTGGCGGCCCCGCCCGCCGCGCCCCGAGTGTTTGACGCGGCCCCGCTGTCCAAGCGGGGGGGGGCAGGATGAGGAAGAGGAGGGTGTTTTATGTGCGCTGCAGCCGCACCACTGCGGCGCACCGACCCAACTCCGCGCAACCCAAGCGAGGACTCCCAAGGGCAAGCGCTGCGTGGGTAGCCGTGCAACGTCGGCATTCACCGTCTCAGCGTGGACGCTGTGCTGCCCACGCTGCGGCGTGCGCGGCAGGAGGGGGACGCGGCGCACATCGTGCGCGCGCCCGACGGGGCGAAACGCCGTTCTCGCTTCGGCGCCACTTTTTCTGTCCTGGAAGGTGCGCTCCCGGTTTTCGGAGGGACCATTGTGACCGAGAACCCATCGTTCGGCAGCACGTCATGGGAGCCTGGCATGCCCCGATCTAGCGTCGGCTAGCGTCGAATGGCGTCGACTCAGCATCGGTTGGCGCCGACTGGCGTCGACCAGCGCCGATTCGCAGGAGCCGACCCAGATGGTCTGGGAGGTTCCCACGAGCTGCTGCCACGGAAGGGACGCGGCGCACAACGCGCGCGCGCGCGGTCATTGACAAATGCTTCCGTGCGGGCCAAGCGCGCGCACACGCGCGCGCGTGCTCTAAACAGTCACCATCCCCGACAAAAAACATCCATGCGGGCCGCTGAACGGAGACCGTCTTTGTCAAGTAATACCATGTGGGCGACGTGCGCACGCGCCAGTCTCTGATCAAAGCCATTTGAGAAGCCTGGCCCGGAGCGCACTCCCAGCCCTGCCCGCCCTGTCCGCGCGCTGGCGCCCACAGTCTCCACCTCTCTTCGGCTGCCAGAGGAGAGCTACACTCTTCCTCGTTCTGTGGAGGCGTGGGGCGGTTCAGCCAGATCTCCCTGAAGGTGAGGGGGGTAAAGGGGTGGGTGGGCGGGTTAGACATGCATCTCCCCCATTCAGATCGCGATCTCTCCAGTGGCGCTCTTTCCCTTGGCTCCAGCAACCCAGTTTTTGGTTGATGCCCTCGTTGATGCCTTGCCTGACTTCGGTGCCACTGGGTCTCGCTGCCTCTTTTGCTAGAGTGTCCACGTCAGTCGGTGCATCGTAACTCGTAGCGGGCTGGCCTGTGCGCAAGACTCTTTGTACGCGCGGTCTATCATTCATGCCCCGCCTCCGATCCAGTCGACTTTCAGCACCCCTTCTTCTTGCTCGCTCGCGCGTGCCGCAAAATGTATTCCTGGTCGGACGGTCTAACGTGATCATGTGTCGTCATGGCAGGCACGTCTGCCTGGCAGTGTCCGAGGGATAGCGGGATTGAGGTGAGCGCTCACGAGGAGGAGGAGGAGGAGGAGGAGGAGGAGGAGGAGGAGGAGGAGGAGGAGGAGGAGGAGGAGGAGGAGGAGGAGGAGGAGGAGGAGGAGGAGGAGGAGGAGGCTGATGAGCAGCGCCGCGAAGGCGGCGGAGGGGCCCTGCCCGGCCCGCGAAGGTGAGGCAGCTCGCCAGCGAGATCCTCACCAGGCCCTACAAGGCCTCCGTCCGACCCCGGTGCCCCCCGCTCTTCGCGCGTCGGGCCCCAGGCCGACCCCCGGCGCGCGGAGAACGGGCCCCCCCATCCAGGCCTCCGACGCGCCTGGCAGCCCACATCCCTTTCTTCACAGTGCGAGAAGGGGGCCCCGTGGCGGGAAAGGAGGTGGGGAACGTTGCAGTGAAAGCTGGGGGGCGGGCGGGCAGCAGCAAGCACATGAGCAGGGGCCAGGAGTCCACGGGGAGTGCCGCCCAGCAGGCGCCGCAGGGGCGGCAGGCCGCGGCCTCCGCCTCGGAGCGCGGCCTGCCCGCGCGGCCGTGGCGGGGTCGCCCGCCGCCGCGGCCCTCAGGCAAGGCCGCCGCCGCCTTCCGGCGTCGGGAAAGAGCTCCGCCTGGCACCGCTGGAGCTGCGCGTGGGCAGCGGCCGCCTCCGAGGAAGGCGCTCGCCGCAGCTGCCCGGCGCGCGGCCTGGCCAGCTGTGCCGCCGAGGCGGTCGCGGGCGGGCCGCCGCACTTTCCGAGAGGGAGGAGGCGCTCACGCGTTTCGGCGCGCAGTGCCAGGGCTGGCGCCAGTGCGCCCGGCCGGCGCCGCTGCTGCCTCCGCGGCCCGCCGCCCCATCCCTGCAGGCCGCCTTTGCGGCGCTCGCCGCAGGCGCTCTCGCGCCCGGCGCGCGCGGCCCAGGTGGTGCCGCCGCTGCCCTTGCGGCGGCGGCCACGTCCGCACCGCGGCGCTCCCGCGGCTGGCGACGCCGCCTCTGGCGTGCTGCGGGCCGCGTCAGGTCGACGGCGCTCGCCGCAGGAGGTGCCCCCAGCCCTGCCGCGGCCGTGGCCGCCGCTGCTCAGCGGGCCGCGCCCTCGCCCGAGGAGGCGCTCGCCGCTGGCGCCTCGGCATGCCGGCGGCTGCAGGGCAGCGGCGCCGCCCCGGCACCGCGGGCCACCTCGTCTCCCGAGGGGGCGCTTGGCGTGCTCGGAGGGGGCGGCGGTGCAGCAGCGCCAGCGGCCGCCCGCGGCCGCTGCCGTCGCTCTTGTCCCCTACTGCGGCGCCGGGCCGCTGCTGCGCGCCAGCAGCGCGCCGCGGCGGGGGGCTGAGGCGGCGGCCGCGTCCGCTGTCGCGAGTCGCAGGGGGGGTCCGTCGTCCGCTGGCTGCGCCCAGCGGGTCCGTGGAGCCGCCGTCCTGGACGTCGGCCGCGGAGCGGGGCGCTGGCCTGGGCGAAGCGCTCGGCCAGGTTTCCGAAGGGCGTCGTGTGATTGCTCGGGGCCCTAGGCGGAGTGGTGGTGGGCGGCTCACGGCTGCCGCCGCTGCCGCTCGCGGCTTCGGCACCTGGGTTGGTGGGGCCGCCGACGGAGGGTGGGCGGCTCGCGCGGCGCGCGCCCCGCGTGATCTCAAAGAGGTCCGCGGCGGTCCCGTCTCTGCGGCGGGCGCTCCTGGGAGGGCTGCCGCCGCTGCCGCTCGCGGCTTCGGTGCCTGGGCTGGCGGGGCCGCCGACGGAGGGTGGGCGATGCGCGCGGCGTGCGCCCCGCGGGATCTCATAGAGGTCCGCGGCGCCGAGCCGTCGCCGCCTCTCCTGGTGGGCCAATTTTCCACCACCGCTACCATAGGTAGGACGGGGGAGAAGGGAGGATGGGGAGATCCTGCTCCTCCTCCTTCTCTTCTTCTTCCTCCTCCTCCTCCTCCTCCTCCTCCTCCTCTCCTCCTCCTTCTCCTTCTCCTCCTCCGCCTGCTCCTCCTCCTCCTCCTTCTCCTCCTCCTCCTCCTCCTCCTCCTCCTCCCTCTTCTACCTATGGTAGTGGTGGGGGAAAATCGGCCCATCATCTCCGGCGGGCGCTCCCGGGAGGGCTGCCGCCGCTGCCGCGCGGCTTCGGTGCCAGGCGCCGGCGGGACGGCCAGACCGCCCAGGGCTGCGCGGCGAGTGCCGGCGCCGGCGTCCAGGGCGCCGCTGGCGCGCGGTCGGCGCGACACTCGGCGCCGCGTCCGGCTTATGCCAGTGCCGCGCCAGCGAGATCGCTTCCCAGCACTGCCCCCGCCGTCTGGCCCCGACGTTTTTTGATTGTTGTTTGTCAATCGATCGACCCATTTCTGGCGTCGTTTCCGTCCTGGGTGATTTTATGATGGCCCCGGAGCCCGAACGCGGTCCCCGGAGGCCAGCAATTGTGAAATATCGCGGCCTCCTTGATGTTTCAAGTTGTTGGAGATCTGGGGCCAGGCCCGATCATCCTTCACGATCGTGCAGGTTTAGCCCGCCTGGGGAGGGCCGATGTCCACGCCCGAGGAGGCGCTCGCCGCGGGCGCTTCGGGGGCCGGCGCCCGCGCTCCCTTGGCTGGCGGCGCCGCCTCTGGCGTGCTGCGGGCCGCATCAGGACGACGGCGCTCGCCGCAGGTGGCCCCGGCGCCTGGCGCGCGCTCCCGCGCCTGGCGCCGCCGCCACGTCGGTACGCAGGCAGTGCGCGCGGGTGCCTCCACTGCTGGGCAGCGGCCCCTGGCACCGCGGGCCACCCCGTCGGCGCTCGGCGCGGGCGCTCGGCGCGGGTGCTCGGCGTGCTCGGGGGGGCGGTGCAGCCGCGCCCGCGGCCGCCGCGGCCGCCGCCACTGCAGCGGCCGCCGCGCCGCCCGCGGCCGCTGCCCTCACGCCTGGCACTGGCACCCACTGCGGCGCCAGGCGCCGCGGCGGGGGGGGCCCAGGCGGCGGCCGCGCCCGCTGTCGCCGCCCTGGACGGGGCGCTGACCTGGGCGAAGCGCTCGGCCAGGTGTCCGCAGGGCGTCGTGCGCTCGCTCGGGGCCGTAGGCGGAGTGGTGCTGGGCGGCTCGCGCGGCGCGCGCCCCGCGGGATCTCCTAGGGGTCCGCGGCGGCCGCGCCGTCGCCGCATCTGCGGCGGGTGCTCCCGGGAGGGCTGCCGCCGCTGCCGCTCGCGGCCTCGGTGCCAGGCGCCAGCGAGGCGGCGGGATCGCCCAGGGCTGCGCGGCGAGTGCCGGCGCCGACGGCCAGGGTGCCGTTGGCACGGTCGGCGCGGTACTCGGCGCGGCGTCCTGCGCCGCGCTGCGCCTGCAGCAGCTCGCCGGCGAGATCCTTTGCCAGGTCCTACGAGGCCCCCGCCCGGACGCGCGCCAAGAGACCACCAGGGTCGGAGCCCTAGAGGTTGGCACCTGCACCGATATCGATGGTGTGCCTCCACCGAGGGAATGGGATTTCCGATCTCGGCGGTGGCGGCAATATCCGGGCTCACTGGGTGGCTGAAGTATTGCCACCAGCACCCACATGTCGGATCATCTTCCCCTGGTGGATGCACATCCCCTGTCTTGGTGTTGGTGCCTTTTTCCACGCCTCCAACGGGGGAGTAACCGCTACTGATCGGAGGGCAGATGCCCGCGTCTTGAACTCGGCGAGTGCCTCAGCGAGGCGGGGCAGGTGGCCCGATCGGCATCCCGCTTGCAGAGTTGTGGCCCAGCAGTCGAGTCAGGTTGCAGCGGTTCCGCGTTGTCCCGCAGGGAAGTGTCTGTCGCCACGTTGACGATTTCGACTTTCTCGCGGGCCTGTAGACAGCCGCGCGCGCTCCAAGAGCTCTTCCAGATCTCCACCATGACGTTATGAACATCTTGATCGGGATCCTGTGGCTCGAGTTGCGTCCTGGGGGAGGAACGTGACACACCACTAGCGTTAAGTCGGGCGTGCTCCTCGACAGGAGGAATATTCGCAAATAGTCAAAAATAGTCAGGGGACGATCTTTCAACCACTTTTGTTTTTTCTCATTGTCGGAATCTTTTTTTTTTTTTCGTCCAAAATCCGCCTGCAGGGGGACATGCCCGACCTGCATAACACTGGCGCACCCGGCCCATCACAGGGGGGCACACCGACGGTATTGACGTGAGGTCTGCTAGCGTATAGAGCGGATGGTGGTGTCAGAGCGCGGACGCCTGCGAGCGGACTTCATCGGACACTCAACATGATACGATCAAGCGGATACCGTTGGTATATCATAAGTTTTTTACATTGCAGGTTTCAGGAACGGGCAGCGAACTGAGAGCCGAACTGAACAACGACACATGTCTTGCCCGGACCCCTCCAGGGATTCTAGTTTCTAGTGGCTCCAGTTTGCGCGTCATTTGCAATACTAGTGGTTGCGGGCCTCTTGGGACCACCTCTTCACCGCTTCCCAGGGCAATTTACAGATTCCGTGCCGCTTCTTTATCGCCACCATCAAGAACCGATTCTTAGTCGAGTCAGGAGCAGGGGATGGAAGGTCTACGTACAGGTCTATGTATGCCTAGTATGCTTGCTTGCCCCCTCCAGTATCATAAAGTTTGTTTCTTATGTGTTTCCCCTCTTCTCCTTATGCTTGCCATGGTTTTTGCATTGTGTATCTTCGTATGTGGTTTTCACGGTCGTATTTGAAAAATGTTGTTTCGTTTGCTGCCTGTCTCTTTCTTTCTCTCTTCCTCTCTTACTCTGTCTTCTTCTCCTCTTCTGGCGGGTTGCAACGATTTCCCCCCATGTTTCCCCTCCTTGGGAGGCTGAAGTTTGTTTCCGATTCTTCCCTGTGCAGGGCAGCTCTGTTTCAATGTGTGTTGTTCCGTGCTTTCTGCCGTTGCGTTCCCGCGGCGGTCCCCCCCCAGCCCCAGGACGAGACCACAAGCAACCGGGGGAACAACGGGGAACACACGGAAACCATTTGCAGTGCATTGAAAACAAGAGGAGACGCATGCAGCCTCCGAGGGCGGGGTGGGGAATACAAACAGGAACACATGCCCCCCTTCGCAGGCACAGAGGTTGACACCAACACCAATACCGGCGGTGTGCTTCCACCGAGGGAAGAAGATCCAGATCTCGGTGATGGTGGCAATATTCTGGCTTCGAAATATTACCACCAACACCGAAATCTAGGATAATCTTCCCCCCTGTGGAGGCCACACCCTCTGTTGGTGTTGGTGCCCATTTCCAGGCCTCCAACCCCTCCAGATCACAGAGGCCTTTTCGCTGCGAGTCCCACATCTGTGGCGGGTTGCAAGGGCAGAGTCCCGCCGCCCTCTCCTCTCCCTGTCCTGCGGGGGGGAGGGAGGGAGGGAGGAGCAGGAGGAGCAGGAGGAGGAGGAGGAGGAGGAGGAGGAGGAGGAGGAGGAGGAGGAGGAGGAGGGGAGAGAAGGAGGAGGAGGAGGAGGAGGAGGAGGCGGAAGGTAGGGAGGGAGGAGGGAGGAGGGAGGAGCGGGAGGAGGAGGAGGAGGAGAGAAGGAGGAGGAGGAGGAGGAGGAGGTGATCAGGGAAGTGCGGCAGCAAAGAGGACGGCCGAACCGTGCAAAGGAGGGAGGAGGAGAAGGAGGAGGTGGATGGATGGATGAGGGAGTGGGAAGAAGGAGGATTAATAGGATGACGAGGCGGAGGAGGAGGAAGAGGAGGAGGAGGAGGAGGAGGAGGAGGAGGAGGAGGAGGAGGAAGAGAAGGAATAGGAGCAGGAAGGAGGAACAGGAGGAGGAGGAGGGCAAGCACAAAGGCCATAGGTCTCTTGGATGCCTCTCGGAGCCTCTTGGGGTATCTCTTGGGCGATTCTTGGTGGCCTCTTGGGACGTCTTGGGGGTCTCTTGGCGATCCTGGGGGGCTCTTCGGGGTCTTGGGTGCCTCGGGGGGTGGCCTCTTGGGGCCGCTGAGGGTCTTCTTGGGGGCCTCCTGGGGGCCTCTTGGGGGCCTCTTGGGGCCATCTTGGGGCCATCTTGGGACCTCTTGGGGCCTCCTGGGCGCTTCTTGGGGCCGTCTTGGAGGAGATCTATCAAAGAAGAGCGGAGCTTAAATTAGGGTTGCCCCCCCCCCCCCCCCAGGAGGCCAAAATGGGGCCAAAACCTTAGTAAAATCAATAATTTTGCTTCCTCGCCGAGGCCGTTTTGGACGCTCTGACACCTCCCCGCCCCTCCCGTCCAGGTCCACGGGGAGGGGGTAGGGGGAGGGGTAAACCCCTCCCCGAAGGGGAAGAGGGAGGGGTGGAAGAGGAAACGCCCTAAACCACCGACGCCCAGAGGGCTGGTGGGATTGCGGGCGACAGATTTTGCATAGGATACGCTCAGCCGAACCCCCCTGGCAATCCAGGGGCCGAAGGGGCCAGAACCTATCAACGGGCGAAACCTCCTTGACGTCACCCTGGACCCCGGCTCCAGACAGAGTCAAGTACCCGGAGGCGGCTTCTTCCGACCCAGCACCTCGCGGGCCTCAGAATCAGTCAGGAGTGCAACGGGCTAGTGCGGAGGGAGGGAGGGGGGGCAACAGCTAGTGCACGTGCAAGCACATGCACAGCTGCACCCACGCGCAACTACTGCATCCAGCGCGCAAAGTCTTGCATTCAGGTGCCAACTATTGCAAGTAACGCTGCACCTCTCCCCGCGGACCTGGCTGCGCCAGGCCCACTTATGCGGCTTAAGCAGCGGCACGTAAATGGCGCCCCTGCGACAGAATCTCCAAAACAGCTTTGCACGTTTAGATGGCAGTGGGCCACGATGGCCCACGGTGGCTGGAATTTTCGGAGGTCCGTGTGGATTTCCTGGTTCGGTGCTGGACCCCTTCACTGGCGCGCGGAGCGCGCCGGGGGCGGCGCCGGAGCGGGCCCAGCGCCGATCCGAGCAATCCGCGCGGAGCTCAGAACGTCTGTGCTCATGACGTCTGTTCTTACTCAGCTTTTCTGGCCCTTGTGTTAAGTCGGGCGTGTCCCTCCTCTACATGAGGAATCTTCGAAAATAGTTAAAGAAAATAATCAGGGGACGATCTTTTTCACTAGTTTTGAGCATTTGGTCGATTTTTTTGGGGGGGGCAGGATTTTTTTAATTTTTTTTGCCCTGAAGCCCCCTGTAGGGGGACACGCCCGACTTGGCCCTCGTGCCCGTTTGGGGCCCCTGCGCTGGCTGAGCAGCGCGGCCGTGGCCGCGCTCCCTCGGCCCCTTCTTCCCCTTGGCATCAACGGGACGTGTGCATTGTTCCTTCGGCGAGGACCATCGAGGAGCATCCTTGATCATTTGGCGAAAAAACCACGCACGAAACCGAAACAAACACAGGTAATGGACGTCCGAGCGATGGCGAGTCCCCCCCTCGCCGGGTCCTCCCGCGCCGCCGGGCCGGGGCGGCCTGGTGGCGGCCGAGCACTGTCGCCCTCCTGCCCTGTGTCGGGGGCGGCAAAGAGGGGGGTGATGACTAGGGGGGGGGTGGATATCATGGCGGGGGCCATGATATCTCCCCAGATTGCATGGCGCCCATTCTTATTCCATTACGTCCCTGGCCCCCCCCCCCCGGGCCGCGCACATGCCGCCGGTCATGATTTGCACCCCCCCCTCTTGGACGCCCCCCTCCTGGCCGCCCCCGATGCCTTGTGGCGCTGCCTCCGCGCCCGTCTGAAAGGGTCGAGTCGGGCGCGTCTCTGCAGGAGGAGTATGCAAAAGTAGCCCCAAAAACAAATAGGGGGACCATTATTCTGCCATCTTCGGCTATTCTTGAGCATTTTAGGATTAGTATTTTTTCGTCCAAAATCCGCCTGTAGGGGAACATGCCAGAGGTTGGCGTTCTTGCTCGTCGGAGCCAGGCACGGGTGCGGCGGGCGCTTCGGCCGCGCGTCTTCTCTCGTGTCCCTCTCTCCCGCACACTGTGCTCTGCAAGCAGGTCCCCCGAAAACGTCTTCTGGTGGTCTTCTTGCGCCTCCCGTTCCTTTCTTGGTGGCTCTTGTCGCTCTGGTTGTGGACGACGATCACTGGAGAGGAGACATGTCGCCTAATAATTTCCAGATGCCTAGAATACGTTCAAGACATGTCTTTAACATGTAAAACACATGTTTCCAGCATTGTTAGAACATGTTTCAACCATTTTGAACGCATGTCTAATTCAATGATAGGGTTGTTCAGGTGTCCACTGTCATGGCGCCCACAGCGCTATTGGGCCGCCTGGACCTGGCATGCCGAGGTCTCCTGCCGCGGAGACGGAGGCGCGCTCCCCCGGGGGCGCGCAGGAGAAGCGGTGCCTTGCCATCCCTCTCGCCCGGCCCGCCCTTCCGCCCCCCTCCTTCGTCGGGCGTTGCGTGATGTGAAGTCGGGCACGTCCCTCCTCCACAGGAGGAAGATCCCCAAATGATAAAAGATGATAGTCGGGGGGCGATTTATTGCAATTGTTTTTGGCTATGTTTGAGAATTCTTGGAGCATTTTTTATCTTTCGTCCAGAATGCGCCTGTAGGGGGACATGCCCGATCGAAGGCTTGGGGAAGGGGGGAGGGCCTCTTGGAAGCCTTCCCCTCCCCCGACCCTCCTTTGTGCGCGCCGCCAAGAGGGGGGGGGTGAAGAGAGGCGCACCCGTCGTGTGCCCTATAAAAGGGGCCCCGCAGGGGCCCCCATGGTGCACAAAAGGGACACGAAGGGGGCACGTTTCTTCGCCTCCCCCCATTTCTTGACGAACGAACAACACACCCCCATACCCATAAGGGGGGTCGTTGGGAGGAGGACTGGCTATGGGTATGGGTGCGGGTGGTCGGACCCTGAGGAACGCTCCCGTTCGAGCGGGGACCTCCATCCGACAACACGCACCCATAGCCCTCTCCGACACCCCTGTGGGTATGGGTATGGGTTGTTGGTTCGTCATGTCTCGTCCCCCACTGACCAACGCCCGACCTCCCCAAACTCTCGGAGCTCCGCGCGGATTTCCTGCATCGGCGCGGGGGTCCCCCCTGTCAGCGCCTCCCGCGCCGCCCACGGCGCGCTCTGCGCGCCGGGCCTGGGGGACGCCGGCGCCGATGCAGGAACCCCGCGCGGAGCCCCGAAAGCTTATCTCCGTGCCGTTTTCTCGTCCTCGGCGAATGGAGAGGGGCAAGAAGTATGCCCATTCTCCGACCCCGGGCTGGTGCATCCTGGGCCCAGGATCGATGCACTCGCGCCAGGCAGGGGGGAGGGGGGTCCAGCGCGGATCCAGAGGAAGCCGCGCGGATCTCCGACAGCTCATGTTTGTGCCGTTTCTTGCCCCTCTGCCCCCCTCTCGCCCTCCTCCCCGCCGGCGGGGCCTGCCGTGTCGGCGCTCGTCCCATGAGAGGTGATGATCGGCAACCGGGACGAGCTGAAGGGCAACCAGGACATCATCCAGCAGGTGAGGATCGTCGACGCCCGCTCGAAGGAGGGGCATCGGCTCCGCCCGGGGGTCGGTCGGGGTGATGCGGCCGGGGGCAGCAGGTGTGTTCGGTCAAGCGCTGGAGGAGGAGCGAGGAGGAGAAGGAGGAGGAGGAGGCGGAGGAGGAGGAGGAGGAGGAGGAGGAGGAGGAAGAGGGTGGAGGGAGGACGGAGACGAGGGAGCACGACCTGCTCCCTCGACCTCCCACTTCAACTGGTGATCGGGTTCGAGTGGTCATCGTCTAATGCTTGCGCAAAGGGAAAAGGGAGAACATGATCACGAGGAGGAGGATAAGGGAGAGGAAGAGGAGCAACAGAGGCAGGATAAGGAGGAGGAGGAGGAGGAGGAGGAGGAGGAGGAGCAGGAGGAGGAAAGGGAGGAGAGGAAAGCCGTGCGGACCCCCCAGAAGTTGTACTCCTGTGGCGTATTCTGTCCTTTGCGAAGGGCTGCCAACACCGCTCTGTGCCCCTTGCGGCTCAGACACCTCCCGCGCCGGAAGACTCAGCAGTACCGTCGTCTTCCAGTGCGGAACCATTTCCGCCCCGCTTGGGCCGATGGTCGGGTCGGACAAGTCGGGGGTATATGGCATGATGCGGTGGCGAAGCTTGCTGCGTGCAGCTGGTTCCGGCCCCGCCGCCAGTCGCTCTCCTCGATGCGTCGGCGTTCCCTGCGCCTGGAGGCGCTGGCAAAACAGCTGCGGGAGCTGGTTCGCTAAACGCCGTTTGCTTTTAGTCGGGCATATCCTTGTACAGGAGGAATATTCCAGAATAGTCAAGAAATAGTCAGGGGTCGATGTTTCTATCATTTTGACAATTTTTGCGTACTGTTTCCACCATTTTCCGTTTTTCTTTTCACATCCGCCTGTACCAGGACATGCCCGATCTAATTTTTGCTATCTCACCCCTTCCGCTCGGGCGATGCGAAATGTGCGCATGTACCGATCCTGGCCAGGCCCATCCTGGGCCCAGGATCGGTGCACATGCCCTTCTGGCCGAGCCACGAGGACGCATGCGTTGGGCGCGCACCCCTGCCCCCCCTCGGAGAAAGTGCAGAGTTTCCCGAAGTAGCTCAGACGTCATAGAGAAAATATCTAATGGCCTTCGGTCCATCCCGCCATCGTGCCTGGATTGTAGGAATGAAGCCTATTGGATGTTCGTTGGGATCTCGTGGGAGGCATCTCGGGGGCCTCTTGGAGACAGTCTTGAAGCCTCTTGGGAACCGTTTTGGGCCTCCTGGGGTCTCTTTTGGGCCTGTTGGGGGCCTCTTTGGGCCTCTTGGGGGCCTCTTCGGGGCCTCTTGGGGCCTCCTGGGCGCCTCTCTGGGGGCCTCCTCGGGAGCCTCTTGGGGCGGAAGGCTCGGATTTTCGGTTTGTGTTCCCTCTCTTGGGCCCCTTTTGGGGCCATCTTGAGGCCCTCTTCGGCCGTCTTGGGCGCCTCTTGGCCCGTCTTGGGGCCCTCTTGGATGCCTCGTGGGCCGTCTTGGGGCGATCTTGGGGGCCTCTTGGGCCATCCTGGAGTGCCGGTAAGCCGAGAAGGCGAGAAAGCCAAACACCTTAAAAACCTACGGAAATCAATGATTGTCTCTTGGAGCCCTCTTGGGAGGCGTCTTGGAGGCCTCTTGGGGCGTCTTGGAGGCCTCTTGGGCCGTCTGGGGGCCATCTTGAGCGTCTTGGAGCGATCGTTTGTCGACTCGGGGAGCCCTCTTGGACCGTCTTCGGAGTCTCTTGGGGCCCTCTTGGCCCGTCTTGGAACCCTCTTGGGCCCGACAAAATTCACACGGGCAGACGTGGGGCAGCCCAGGGGAACTGCGCCAAGCCCAGCCAACTTTCGGACTTTGTGCGTCTGGGGTTCCTTAAAGACTCCTCAGGACTGGGGACTGAGGACTGAGGAGGCTCCAGGGATCAGGCAAAGGACCTGAGGACACGCCCACTTCGTGCCCAGAGGCACAGTTCAGGAGGGGAAGAGACGCACAGACACAAGTCATCGTCGATTCCCAGGAACATCTGCGAAACTGCGGGAAGTGGGGGGGGGAAGACGAGCACCCCGAACATAGGGGAAAAGTGCAGGGGATCTTGGATTTGTGCCTACTTCTTGGTGTGTCCCTGGGCCCCTGCCATAGCGGTGGCGGATCGGCCAGCGCCCCCGTGCCCACCCTGCCACGGCATGCCTCGGTCCTGGGCCCAGAAGTGACCGGTCCAGGGTCGGGGCATGGGCACACTTCCCTTCATCTCCTCTCCTCCTCATCCTCCTCCCTCCTCATCTCCTCTCTCTCCCTCTCTCCTCCTCTCCTCTCCTCCTTTACTCCCCCCCTTCCCCCCCCCCCGTTCCTCCTCATCTTTTCCTCCTCCTCCTCCTCCTCCACTAAAGCCTTCCTCCTCCTCCTCCTCCTCCTCCTCCTCTCCCTGCCTCCTCCTCCCTTTCCTCCCCCCCCTCCTCCTCCTCCTCCTCCTCCTTCTCCTCCTCCTCCTCCTCCTCCTCCTCCTCTTCTTCCTCTCCCTGCCTCCTCCTCCTCCAGGCGGGGGGCCCAGCGCCGATCCAAGAAACTCGAGCGGAGCTCCGACAGTTCATGTTTCCGCAGTTTTTCACCTAATGCGTCCGACCCCCCAAGATGGCCAGCCTGCTCGCTGCACCGCCTCCTGGGGCGTCGCGTGGAGCGGCTCCCGTGCTCGCGAGACGACCTGTCAGGCCGCTGGCGAGCGCCCTGCCGCATCCGATGATGCTGCTGCTGCTGCTGCTGCTG